TGAGATCTCCTCGCTCCCGGATGTTTCTCGTGTGTATTTTCTCTTCAAAGTGGCGTCTCTCCCCTCAAAATAGGCTTAGTCTTGCTTTTATACGCGTTGGGTAGGTATAGGGCCGAAATAACCTTGTCCCGGACAAACTTGGATCACTTTCCCGTCACCAGCGTCCAGGGCAGTGTGGGGTGCTGGCGTTGGCGCTGGCTTGTTGAAGTTTCTGCCAATAGCGCCACAGGTGGCGTGGAGCGCTGCCTGTGGCGCTGAAATTCCACATTGCCCAATTTTCCTCCGTTTTGGCTCTAATCTTGTACCTTTCGCCCCCAGTTGCTTCCGGATGATTCCTACACATAAAAACATCCCGAATTAATATAAATCAATACATTTTACATCCGAAATCCACAAAACACGAGTAAAACATGAGGCGATATACATATAAATATATATGCTTTAAGCTAAATATCAACACCCCACACTTAGACTCTTGCTCGTCCTCGAGCAATGAGACTAACAACTTTATCCCAACTACATACAAATCTCACTAGAGAGGAGCACTTCAAAAAAAAAATTACCATACACTCTCTCCTTGACTATGATCGATACCGGCAATCAAACATGAACATACAAAATTCACATTCTTCCCGTTTTAAATATGCCCAAATATACCAATTTCAATTTAATCAATTCAAACAACCTATCTGTAACCACCCAACCTCAAAATCTGACTCGTGATCACTAAGCACTCTCAACTCGCGCACTTACCCAACAAGATACATTTACAACATTACCAATCCTTCATGAGATCATGTGTCCTCACCAACAAACAAAATAGTGAATATATAATAGTCCACACATTCAAATATGCTTTTGAATATAAATTAAGGACATCACACAATGAACAAAATTTGTTCACTCTCACAAAGAATTTATATGCATCCCGTGGTTGTACCATAAGCTTGCCCGTAGTGTACATCTCTACTAATCTAAGCTAGCCAAATCTAGGATCAATTGGGATTTTAAGGTTGTAATGTAGGCTAAGGGACGGGTAGGATACATTTAGGAATAGTGACTAACCCTCCTAAGCATTTTACTATACTACACTCACAAATCGAGCACATATTTTTCTCAACCAATTCACTCGCCACAAACCATATACAACATAGCCCTTATTTTCATTAAGCACTTCTATACCCCCACTAGCACAAATTAGTAAGATTAGGAGGTGTGTATTTTTCTACATTATTTGACTATTATTTATTTTTCTTTTTTCTTTTTTCTTTTTTAATTTTCTTTCTTTCTCTTTTTTTCCTACACACACTCCATACACTAAAGTTCATCGGCTAGTGACTTTTTTTTTCAACTTTAGTGCACCAAAGGGCCCTTCCATGGTTTCACTCGAAAGCTACTCCCCAATCTCTCACCTTACTTCTTTAGCGACTAAGTGCCTTAGGAGGTAAAAGTTCAACAATCTCAAATTAAGAATAAAATAAGGGTACGACTTGTAATGTGGGTGCCAAAGGAAAGGTCTATAGGCTCAAAGGGGCTAGCAACATAAAATTTTATTTTTATGTGACAAGCACATCTATGGTCAAGCAAGAAATGCCTATGTCATCTCCTAGATTATCACAACTTAACAATTTCGGTCCGATTAACACATGCAGCAAGTTCTAGACTATACAGGATAGCACAGAGAATCACAATTCCTCATACACACATTGCACATGACTCAATCAAGACGGTTCTGTTCAACTCTCAAGTCAAGCAAGTACATATAATTGAGAAGTTCAACCAATAATGCACTATGTGGCATACAAGTTGAACAATTGAGAAAAGGTGTCACAAAATAAGCTATTTATTTTACTCAGACATCACAATTCAAATCAAATGTACGAAAAGATAGAATGCATGTCATAGCCTAATGTGCCAGCACCAAACATGTCACTAGGTATCTCATAGCAACCCAGTTTCTTCCTAACCTCCTCCTAAAATAAAAAATAAAATAAAGTACCCGGTTCGAGCTACACCCTTAGAAAAGAACCGGCGCCCAAAGAAAAACCAAGGGATACTACCTAACTAACCTAAAAAAAATCTTTTTGGTGTTTTTAATCAGACTTTATCCCTCAAGAAAATTGTCCAACAGATCCATCGTCGGGAAAAGTTCAAACTTTTTTCTGATATTGTTTTTTCTTTTCTTTTTGCATTTTTGTATTTTTTTTCTTCTTTTCTTTCTAAAACAAACTAGACTAAAAACTAGACTAAGTAAAACTAATAAAAGAAACAATTTGATACAATTTATACAAAGTACATCACAAGTAGTAGTTCTCCCACCCTACACTTAGCATATGCATAGTCCCCGATGCATGTAAAAATGTAAAATAAAGTAGGGTGAAAAGAAAACGCCATGTTAGTCGGAGTCCTCCTCCTCAGCATGCCCTATATCCATAGTTCCGGGCACATCATCATCAGGTCCTAAAGGCACCAAAGCCATCGGCCCAATGACATCATCACCAATGTTATCTTCCGTGTCAGAGCCCTTGCATGTGTTTGCGTCCTCCGATGAGTGAACGGGGCTTCCAGGTGAATTCCCTAACATCTCTTTGAAGGAACTAGACAAATCATTACGTAAATGCATACGCTCCTCGTTTAAGACACCCATCATGCAAATGTTGACATTCAAGGAGTTATAAAGATACCTATTGATATTCTTGTCTCTTTCGTTCCATGCTTCCTGCGTGAACTTAGACATAGTCTCCAACAAGGATGTGATGTCCAACAACCCTTTAGGAGCCTCCACCACCTCATCATACCCTGGATACTCCGGCACAACCCGGGAAAGCATATATTGCGTGAGCAAGTTGCCGAAGAAAAACCTCTTAATCTGCCGCCCAAATCGTGTGCAATCCATCTCCCCCACATTAATGGTTCTCTCAGTCATAAAAAAGAATATCACACATACTCGAGCTATAGTGCATTCACTGTTGTGTTCAACTGGCATGAGTCTGGCTTGTACGAAATTCTGCCACACTTTGGCAGTCTTGTTGAAATCAAAGAGAACCATCTGAAGGTGGATATCACCTTGATTTTTGGTCCACTTCGCATTTGAATTGAAGCCACAAAAGTGTGATGTATCGCCGTGTAGCTTGGGCTTGTGACAAATTTCTTTAGCCTCCTCGGGTTAGCATTCTCAACCCCCAAAAATGCACATAAGGACCGCCTATCCAATTGCACGTCTATTCCACGGACATGTGACTGGAACAAGTTTGCATTCCAGTTGGCGTACAGTTCCCGTACCATGCTCAAATTTGCATGGCCGGGGCATTCTATGAGTTTGTCCATGTTCAATGCTCGCAATCGGCCAAGCACATCCGGGAAGTTCCTTTCTAGAGCTTTCACATTAATCCCCATTTCGAAAATGTACTGTCCATATGGCACGAAGTACCTATGCCATGCAATAGCAACATCACTGGTTAGTTTCAAACTAGGCCTCGGTTGCAATGGTGTGTGTCGTGATCCCTCGGCCACTTGTTTCCCCTTAGCTTGCCTCGAGGATCCTTCTCCTTGCTTGCGCTTTTTGGGCGCGGGGGAAGTGGTTGAGGACTTTCCTATTCCCCTTTGCTTGCATTATCACGAGCCATAGCAGCCTACAACACAAATAAGCATGAATGTGAGAACGAATCAAGAAATCCGCTTAATGTTGTCGCGCGAGTCAAAAATGACCCACACTTAAAACCGAAGGCTCAATGTATAATACTCACAATCGTGGTCTAAAATGCACAAGTGTTGCACCACAAGGCATTGGGTACTCAAGATTTCCCCATCCCACACAATAGCAAAAAGGGCACTAACGATCCCACACAAATAAGTGATTGATCATGGCGAAGTGAATTAACCTCAATGCAAGCAAGTGGCATATGGTACTTAATTTTTTTTACAACTACTACACTAAATTAGTTAATCCTACAAAGTTCTACAACATACATAATATAGGATATATGGTGTGGGCGATATGTGTGCATTTAAAACCAAGCTTCTAAGCATGTAAAATCATCCCACACACCCCACACTTAGCCCAATATCATATACAACTATACTCGGTTACTCAGACTTCACCGGTGCACAGAATATTCATTCAAACAATTTAACAAACACCTTGTGGGCATGAAGTGTGTGTACTTTAGTTTAACAATGGTGGAACATGGTGGCCCTCCCAAATTTCAATGAAGTAGAGGGAATTCTAGTTTACTACCTCATATACAATACAACCACAACTAATTTCGTCCCACAATCGGACCACCCACCATAGAGCAATTCTTAAGAAGCAACTTAGGTGCAAAATTTGGGGATTAGGGTATTTGGGAGGTGGGATGTTCATTATCATCTACCTATTAAAATAACAACAAAAAGAAGAAGAAAAAGAAGAAGAAGAAAAAAAAAACACCTATAGGATCTTGGATGAGAGCAAGAGAGGAGCTTGAGAAAATTGAGAGAGAGAGCGGAGAGGAAACGCGGCAGAATGAGAGAGAGATACGGGTGTGGGAGGGGAATGCGATATGTGAGTTGTGTTTTAATTTGAGTGGGGTGTGGGTATGGGTTATAACGTGGGTTGTAATGTTGGGTATATGGGTTGGGTAAATGGGTTGGGTAAAAATAACACACACAAAAAAAAACAAAAAAAAATTAAATTCAAAGCTTACCTGCACCCCCTAGCCCAACGCCCCACGCTATTCCTGGCGCTGGGGGGTTTCGACATACTGTATTGGGCGCCCCAGGCAGCGTGGGGCGCTGAATTTTGCGATTTTATTTTATTGTTTTTATAACATCTCGATCCCCTGAGCCCTTTATATATCCAATTTACATGCCCCACACCATTCTACCTATAATTTCTATGCCTACAAAGAAAATGCGTAACTCTAGTCTACTCTAACTAAAAAATCAAAAAAAACTAAGCTATGAAAGCAATAAAAATTGGGTTGCCCCCCAACAAATGCCTGATTTACGTAGGGCCTCGCTTACTCATCAACGAGTACAACTTTGGTCTTCTCATGATCAATTATTCCTCCCCAATAGTGCTTGACTTTGTGTCCATTCACTAAAAAATTACTTTCACCATTTAAAGCACGCAACTCAATTGCACCATAAGGAGTGACTCTCACCACCCCAAACGGGCCTGACCATCTCGATTTTAATTTCCCAGGAAACAGTTTGAGCCTATAATTGAACAATAATACATGTTGGCCTGGCTTGAAGTGACATGGCTTGATACGCTTGTCATTCCATCTTTTCGTTTTCTCTTTGTAAAGCTTAGAATTTTCATAAGAGTGCAGCCTGAACTCATCTAACTTATTCAACTGCAAGAGTCTCTTCTCAACAGCGGCTTCAAGGTCCATATTCAACTTTTTAATGGCCCAGTACGCTTTGTGTTCAAGTTCAACATGCAAGTAACATGCCTTCCCATAAACAAGCTTATACGGCGATGCTCCAATTGGCGTTTAGTATGCAGTTCTATATGCCCACAAGGCATCATCTAACTTTGCAGCCCAATCCTTCTTATTCACACTCACCGTCTTCTCTAAGATTTGCTTTATTTCTCTATTAGACACCTCAGCTTGTCACTTGTTTGAGGATTATATGATGTAGCAAATCTATGGTGGACTCCATATTTAGCCAGAAGGTTATTCAACAACCAATTACAAAAATGTGTCCCTTCATCACTAATCAAGGCACGTGGAGTTCCAAACCTCTAAAATATGTTCTTTTTCACAAACATAGCTACCACCATGGCATTATTTGTTGGCAATGCAATTGCCTCTACCCATTTTGACACGTAGTCAACTGCTAGCAAGATGTATTTGTTTCCTCTGGACAATGAGAATGGTCCCATAAAATCTATCCCCCACACATAAAAAATATCGACCTCCAGGATGTTATTCAAAGGCATCTCATGCCTCTCTGTGATTGTTCCTGTTCTTTGACACTGGTCACACTTCTTAAAAAATGCATGGGCATCCTTGAATAATGTTGGACAAAAGAAACCATATTGTAATACCTTTGCAGTTGTTCTATCGCCTCCATGATGGCCCCCATAGGGTGATGCATGACAATCATACAACATTAATTCCACATCCTTTTCTAGAATGCATCTCCTCATCAACTGATCAACACACTGCTTGTACAAGTATGGCTCATCCCAGTAGTAGAATTTCACATTATGTAGAATCCTCTTTCTAGCTTCAGATTCAATTTCAGGAGGAAGTACCCAACTCACAAGATAATTCACATAGTCCGCGTACCACGGGGGAGGGTCTTGGGTGATAGCAAAAAGTTGCTCATCAGGAAATGCTTCTTTAATTTGTCCACCCCCCTCCACGTGGTCGTGATTTTCCAGCCTTGATAGATGGTCAGCTACTTGGTTCTCTGTGCCCTTTCAATCTCGTATTTCTACATCAAATTCCTGCAACAA